CAGAAGTAGAGATGTAGTCTTCCGAGAAAGTGAAGTTGGAACTGCTGCCGATATGTTAGAAAAAGGCGAAGAATGGTACAATTCCTAACCTTTTTATTATTCCTTCTACTTCTAACAATCCCACAAGTGCAGAAAGTACGACCGACGAGGTTGCCGAGCAGGGGGAGCAACCTGGTGAGGTTATTGAGCAGGGGGAGCAACTTGATGAAGGTGTCGAGGAAGTGGAGCACCCCACTCAGGGAGAAGAACAACCTCAACCTCTGAGGAGATCAGAGAGGCCAAGGGTAGAGTCATGCAGGTACCCTTCCACAGAGTATGTCCTCATCAGTGGTGAGAGAGAGCCAGAAAGTCTTAAGGAGGTGTTGTCCCATCCAGAAAAGAACCAGTGGATGAAAGCTATGGAAGAAGAGATGGAATCTCTACAGAAAAATGGCACTTACAAGCTGGTTGAACTTCCAAAGGGTAAAAGACCACTCAAATGCAAATGGGTCTTTAAACTCAAGAAAGATGGAAATGGCAAGCTGGTCAGATACAAAGCTCGATTNACTCGATTGGTGGTTAAAGGCTTCGAACAGAAGAAAGGTATTGATTTCGACGAAATTTTCTCACTTATTGTCAAAATGACTTCTATTCGAACAATTTTGAGCTTAGCAGCTAGCCTAGATCTTGAAGTGGAGCAGTTGGATGTGAAAACTGCATTTCTTCATGGAGATTTGGAAGAGGAGATTTATATGAAGCAGCCAGAAGGATTTGAAGTAGCTGTAAAGAAACACATGATGTGCAAATTGAATAAGAGTCTTTATGGATTGAAGCAGGCACCAAGGCAGTGGTACATGAAGTTTGACTCATTCATGAAAAGTCAAACATACCTAAAGACCTATTCTAATCCATGTGTATTCTTCAAAAAAATTTCTGAGAATAACTTTATTATATTGTTGTTGTATGTGGATGACATGTTAATTGTAAGAAAAGACAAGGGGCTGATAGCAAAGTTGAAAGGAGATCTGTCCAAGTCATTTGATATGAAGGACTTGGGCCCAGCATAACAAATTCTAGGGATGAAGATAGTTCGAGAGAGAATAAGTAGAAAGTTGTGTCTATCTTAGGAGAAGTACATTGAACGTGTACTAGAACGCTTCAACATGAAAAATGCTAAGCCAGTCAGCACACCTCTTGCTAGTCATCTAAAGTTGAGCAAAAAGATGTGTGCTACAACAGTGAAAGAGAAAGGGAACATGGCTAGAGTTCCTTATTCTTCAGCAGTCGGAAGCTTGATGTATGCAATGGTATGTACTAGACCTAATATTGCTCACGCAGTTGGTGTTGTCAGCAAGTTTCTTGAAAATCCTGGAAAGGAACATTAAGAAGCAGTCGAGTGGATACTCAGGTACCTGAGAGGTACCACGGGAGATTGTTTGTGCTTTGGAGGATCTGATAAAATCTTGAAGGACTATACAGATGCTGATATTGCAGGTGACATTGACAACAGAAAATCCACTACTGGATATTTGTTTACATTTTCAGGGGGAGCTATATCATGGCAGTCTAAGTTGCAGAAGTGCGTTGCACTTTCAACAACTGAAGCAGAGTACATTGCTGCTACAGAAACTGGCAAGGAGATGGTATGGCTCAAACGATTCCTTCAAGAGCTTGGATTGCATCAGAAGGAGTATGTCGTCTATTGTGACAGTCAAAGTGCAATAGACCTTAGCAAGAACTCTATGTACCATGCAAGGACCAAACACATTGATGTGAGATATCATTGGATTCGAGAAATTGTAGATGATGAATCTCTAAAAGTCTTGAAGATTTCTACAAGTGAGAATCTCGCAGATATGCTGACTAAGGTGGTACCAAGGGACAAGTTCGAGCTATGCAAAGAACTTGTCGGCATGCACTCAAACTAGAAGATAGTGCTACCTCCTCTAGATGAATGAGACTGGAAGGGGAGATTGATGATGTCCATCTCATTGAAGAAGTATTAGGCATGTACCTAATAAAAGTTTCTTTGGTTTGGTAGCCAACCTTGTTGACTTGGTTTGGTTAGGTAGCCAACCTTGTTGAATTAGTTTGGTTTGGTAACCAACCTTGTTGAATTTCTTTGGTTTGGTAACCAACTTTGTTGAATTGTGAAAAGTGTGTGTAAATTGTCAAATAATGTAGGCTTTAGAGAGTGAAGCTTTGGCTATAAAAGGAGAGTCTCAACTCTCATTTCTTCACACCAACAAAGAGAGAAAGAAAGAGTGAGGTTTCACAGACAGGGTATAAGAAAATAGTTTGTGAGGAAAATAGAGAGTGAGCGATATTGTAGTGAGGTGGGAATATCAAAAGAGGGTTATTTCTTTTGAGTGTTGTAGTGGTCTTTGGAATATTTTACTCCGACCTACAAAGTGTAAAATTCCTTACTATAGTGATATCAGTTGCTCCTCTCGGGGCCGTGGTTTTTTCCCTTATTAAAAGGGTTTTCCACGTAAAAATCTTGGTGTCGTTGTTACTCTTTTATTCTTGTTAATTACCGTATCTCGGTGTTACATTATTATTCCGCTTTTATTACCATGAATATTATTTCTTGGGGGTTTATTCCCAACAAAAATTGCCTAATACCTCATAAAGAGACTGCATCTCGTTCCTTCAACCAACGTAAAGGACTCTAACAAACACAACTAGTAGGCCAGTAGTTCGAGTCACATAAAGGTTAGCAAAGAGTACTATGGTCCTTTGGAATAAGGGTGAGGTAAAAAGAAGAAGAATTTGCAGTAGTATGAGTCTTACTCCGACAGTTAAATTACTTTGCGTCTTCTCCATTTTCCTTTAGGATCTGCTCTCGTTTAGTTTATCTATTAATGTTATGCATAAATTATCAATACACCAACTTAGTTCTTTTTTGTTTTTTAGTTCTTTTTTGTATGAAAGCTAGCTTCGTAGTTGACATATTCTAAACTCTAAAGCACATAGACTAGAAGTTGAAGAAAATAATATACCATTGTTATCTTTCTGTAAGTAAAAAAAAAATTACTCACAAATCTTTTCTTGAACATAATTTCAGAACTAAAGTGTGAGCAATTCCAAATCCTATTGAACCAAACTTCTCAAGAACTGACATCTCCAAAGTGCACTCTGGGAAGGCAATAAATGAGCTGTAAACATTCAGAAGAGCAGAGCCATAAACTAGGACTCTTGTATCTACAACTACCCATAACCGCATACTTTCTCAGCAGGAAACAAATGTTTTGTACAGTTCTTAGACAAGTTTGAAGAACATGTAAATGTCTCGTGAAATTAACCCCAAGAGCTGACATGCTGCAACGTATTATCCTGAGGTCCTACAACATGTTGCAGCGGATAAAGCAATGGCTTGTATTCAATAATTATGATGAATACTAGTACTAGTTTGTTTTGTACCGTCTTAGAGACTATTAAGTATCATTCTACCTAATTACCACAAATTCGAATATCCCCTACAAGTTCATTGACTCAATAGAAGTTCATATAAGAAGTTTATTTCAAAAAAATAATCTAAGACAGTAACATTAAAATGAGTTTGCTCCATAAAGATATAGTAGTTCCTTCACCTTTTCATACTGTTATCATCTTACAAATTACCAACCCATGCACGATTATAATTCTATCTTCCACAAAGCAATCCATACGTATACTCGTTCTTCTAAGTCCTGCCCCTACTTTGCATGCGGCGCGGAGGGTTTGTGCAGTCCTCACCTGGACATGCATGCCAGAGTCAGTATGTTTTACAGCACAAGACTTGATGGTACAGCGGGGTTGGTCCAAAGTGACTTTCATGTCAAAGATGCAATATAGACATGTCAAAAGCATCAGAGATACAAGAAGCTTTAGGCAGTACCGGTTGCTCAGAGCTCAAGAAAATGGCAACCAAAGAACCAGAAGCCCCCCAGATCGGTTGCAGTTAAAGTCTCCTGCAGCCAATGTAGGCTCTCTGAGACCCACATTTGACTTCACTTGTAGTCCATTGAGCATGGAAGCAACATCCTCTCAGTACTCACATATCCAGGTTTACCCGAGCATATGGACAACCTCCAATACCTGATACAAAGGTACCCACTGTGACTCTGCCAAGACAAACACAATCGGGAAATTGACAATTAATAATTTGTACATCATTAAAGTTTAAAAGCATATATAAGCATATACTCCTCATTGAAAGATTGTCTTACATGTTTGAATATGACCTAACATGGAATAACAAGATGTTAACTCATATATGACAATAAAAATGCAAATGTTCGAGGATAAAATATCATTGGAAGATTATTTTGCAAAAGCTCTCCAGAAGCACTCCATAAGCAACAAATTGTTGATTATGCTAGGACACACAAAAGTCACCTTCTCAAAACTAGTAGTTAAACAACGGGCCACACTGTATTATCTTTACTTTAGGCAGCAACAGAAACAAGCAATTTTATGAGTTCTTAATTCACTTCATTAGGTAAAATTGTCATCTCGTTTTTCAGTCCATCTGTTGAACATCTATTCTTATTCGGGAATCAGGGTTAAACCCACAAATTGCATAACTATTTGTATGCTTCCGCATTACTAGGATAAGTAATTTGTGGAAATTCAAGGAACTTAAATGGCAAGAATTTCAGAAAAACTATGCTCCCGTACAACTTAGATCAGCAATTCGATAGATAAAAAAAGTCGAGCAACCTAAATACTCCAATATTGACAAACATTAACAAACAGCAGGTTACCTTGTTTTAACATCCTCTACATGCCGTAGGTGCTATAATAACAATTAAGAATACAAAAGAACACTTCTTGTTCGAACCACCCTAGGAGCTTGATTAAAGACCCTCCTTTTTAATCTTTGCCATAGGAATGCTCTCCCTACAATGCCCTCGATGTAAGGAAATATGTCATTATTAGCAGACGGGGAGGGGGGGGGGGGGTTATTT